GTATCTTTTTTTTAGGTAGGAGGGTGATACGAGTAGGAAAAGGAAACTCTGGTGGCCTAGTGGTAAGAAGCTCTGCTGCAATCCCTAAGGAACATGGTTAGATTCCACCAGCTGTTCTGTGGGAGGGAATGGATGGGAATCTCTCCTCCTGTGATTAAACTGCCTCTGAAAACCGGCTGGAGGTTCAGCTGCAAGAAGGTTCAGATTCAATGGCATACAACAACAAAGGGTAGGAAAAGGAGGGTTGACCCCTCTCCAACCTAGTGTGCTGTTGACTGCCCCTAATCAGCCTGTGCTGAAATGATTCCCAGAACACATTCTTCCCTCTGAGTCTCTGCTCAGGGTCCACGCTCAACGCAGAGTAGCTGCCCTTCTCCTATGTCCTAAAACTGTACGACTCTCTCTGAATTGATCTGCATCACACTAGTACACTTGGGCTCCATTTTTAATAATAATAAAATAACACAAAACCTTTTACATCTTATCTGCCAGCTTTATGGCGAAAGATGTTGTAAGTCCTGTGAATGAAAAGTGTGGAGCAAATATTTATTGTGATTTTGTGGTTTTTTTTTTTAAAAAAAAAAACAACCAAGCCCCTTTTTAATCATGGAGGGGAGAGAAGTTGCTAAATCAACAAATACGACAGCAGGTTGAGTTTGGCCTGTCTTTGGCTTCAGGGCAGCCCATGAGGCTTTTCTGATGGTGAACTCTGCCCTTGCCTGGACCAACATACCTGCCAGGAGTTCAGGTCCAACAGGTGAACAGTCCCATTGGCAGTACCCACAGCTGCTCTCTGCGCATTGTGGGAGAACGCCACGGCTGTGGGAGATGAGGACACAGACAGAGACAGGCCAGAGCTAGAGGGGCAGCAGGAAAAAAGAGCAAGTGGCTGAAAGGACATGAATAGGAATCCTTTTCTGTACCCTAAACCCCCTCTTCACAGTGATTCCAGCCTTTCCTTTCTCTCTCTACTTCAGAACAGGATACAATTGTTTCTCCAATGGGCTTTCCAAGGTCTGGGGATGAGTGTCTTACCTTTGCTGGTCCCCCACGGCTTGGGGTTTATTAATCCATCGAAGTGTGCATGGGAGTTGCCACCGCTGGGATAATTGAGGGGCCTGGTGACAAAGAGGTGAGTTCGAAGGCTGATTGGCTGCTTGCTGGTATAGGAGCAGTGGGTACTGGCTTAGGATTGGAGCCTGCTGCCTCAGGAAGGCACGGAATACAGCAATGTCGGCATCAGGGAGCTCTTGTTCATCTTCAGGGACTGAAGAGACTAGAAAAGAGGTAAGATGCCACTGGAGAGTCACTACTAACTACTAACTTCAGCATCCATGAAGCCAAATGGGCTATCTAAAGCAATAAGTCTCAAAGTACCACTCTCTGGTCACACACAGGTTAAAAGTGCAAAGCTTTGAACCCCACTCCAGACCTAAAATCCCAAAAGCCGTTACCATGGAGTAGACTACCAGGGTGATTACCACAGCCGACTACCATGGTGATTCTGTGGGTGTCATAGTAGATATGTTCTCCATGACTGACTTTTTTTGAAGTATGTCACTAGGCACCTCTCAGTGGATGTTTAAGTCTTTGTGATTAGCAGTCAAGGTCTCAGGGTGGCCTGTTATCGTTCACACCACTTAGGGACTTCCTCTTAAGATCTTGAAGATTAAAATCTAGGGATCTCAGTATCTGCAATTTAAACAAGCTTCCAAGCATATACCCATTAAATAAAGCTAGAGACACTTCCGTCTAAGAGAGCTAGGCAAAGATATCCTAATAACCTCTTGTCTACCATTTTGGCCTTTTCATCCAAAGTTCATGGTTCTTTCCATTCACCTTCCCCTCAGAATCCCATGATTTGTTGCTGTTGATGTTAGGTGCTCTCGAATAGAGTACAACTCACAGAGGGTCTATGAACAACAGATCGGAACCCTGTCCTATCCTGTGCCATCTTCATCATCTCTGACACACTTGAGCCCATTGCTATGGTAGCTGAGTCAATCTACCTAGTTGAGGACTTTCTTTTTCACTGACCCTCCACCTGTCCTAGCGTGATGCTCCTTGCCAAGGAATAGCCTCCTGTAGCAACATGCCCAAAGCATGTGAGACAAAGCTTCACCATGGTCTCTAAGGAGCACTCCGGCTGCACCCTCTCCAAGACCTAGCTGGCTGTTCTTCTGGCAGTCCCCGGGATGCCCAGGGCTCTTTAACACCACAGCTCAAAGTCATCAATTTTTCTTCCGACTTCCTTAGTCGTTGTCCAGTTCTCCGACTGAAGGAGATACATCTTAGTCCTCAATAATTTCAAGAAGTCTCTAACTGCAGACTTTCTCAGGGCAATACGTCTTTTGATTTCTTGGTTGCTAGTGCCAAGGGAGTTGATTATGGATCCTAGTTGTTCTTATTTTCTTGATGTTGAGATAGAATCTATACTGACTGCTATAGTTTTTTTTATCTTCTGCAGCAAGTATTTCAAGTCCTCCTCTCTTTCAGCAAGCAAGGTTGCATCATTTACATACCGCAGGTTGTTGGCAAGTCTTTTTCCTATCCTCATGCCACATTTTTCTTTATAGAGCCTGGCTTCTCAAAGTATTTGTTCAGCATACTTATTGAATACATATAAAGAAAGGATACAACCCTGACACACACTTTTCTTGATTTTAAACCATGCAGTGTTCCCTTGTCTGTTAGGAATCCCGTATCTCAGAGATGAAACCTCCCATCTCACCATAGAGGGCATGGGCATCCAGGAGTCGAGGGACCAGGCCTAGCTCCACGTGTGCCGCCACCACATGCAGGCTGGTGAGGAACTTCACAAGAAGATCACGGTTCCCACTCCGGAGCTGGGAAGAACCAAATTAGAGTCATTCTGGATGTAAAGAGGTTGATGAGGAAGGATGGAATCTCAGATCCTGCCTGTGAGCTGGGATTGATGCCCAGAAGCTGGGACAATGGATCTGGAGAAGGCAAGCAGGAAAACAGAAAGATGAGAGGAACAGGGAGTGTGGGAAGATAGTGGCTGATGGTGGGGATGGTGGGAGGATAAGCTCAGAATATCCAAAGCACTGAGTGAAGAAAGGTATCTGGGGGTCCAGCGACTAACCAGGTGGTAAGGCAGGTCTCCTAGAGCTTCAGGAGGGCAACTTCGGAAGGTACCTGAGGCATCAGGGTAACACATCTTCCAGAACTGAGCTGCAAGTGAGTCACAGAACAGACACTGAGACAAACTCACCACTGTAGTATCTCCTAGGTCATATGTTTTGGGCTACAGTAAATCACCAAACCACCAGGGTGATAGTTGAAGAGCCAGCCAGTGGAGAACACCAGAAGGTGTGCTCTCCAAGGCCAAGACCCCTCCCTCCAGGCCCCCACAGACTTTGACTGCAGTCACCTGCAATGAGGATGTGTGCCGTGTTCTTCAGCCCTGGCTTCTTCCTATATCGACGCTGAGCTGCTGCTCTCAGGGGCCCATCACGGAGGCAAAGCCGGGCACCAAGGCGCTCCAGAGGACCCTCCCCTAGCAAGCTGTCCTCATGTGAGAAGGCGAGAGAAGAAAAGACAACAGAGGGAGAAGACCTGTTAGCGAGCAGCCCGGCACCACATGGGCCCTCATTCAGGCCTCAAATAGTGGCCATTTGAGCGGCAGCTCATTCTGGGATTAGGAGATTCTGGTGTTAAGGCTAAGCCAAGGGAAGGGTAGGATGGAGAAGGGATCACCAAGGGCCTGGGCTCAAAGACGGGAAAGTACATAGTGTGGCCAGTGAGGAGTTCAGCCTGGGGCACGTGTACCTGCGCAGACTCTGGACGAGGTAGGCAAATGAACCCATGGGATAGGGGTCCCCACTGTTACTAGCAGCCATCGCCTCTTCCCAGGTCTTGCTCCCTTTGGGGAGGATCCGCCAAGCACTCAACACTCCATGCAGCTGGTCCACGGTCAAACCTGAAAGCCAAGCTCTCTGAGGCCCTCACCCATGCTTGCAGGATGGTCAATCCTGTGGCAACTATACTCTCTGTATCTTTCACTGGAGCTCCAAGTGAGCCAAGGTCATCCAACTCCTACCCTCAGCCTCCCAATCCACTCTGAGCACTGACCACCACGTGTGACCTCAAGGGTGGTCAAGGCTTGGGAAAGGACATCGGGGCCATGCTCTTTTTCCAAGGTGTTCAGGATGTGTTGGAGCAGCAAGGGGATGGTGGCGGGCAGAGCCCGGAGTCTCTCAGAAATCTAGGAGGGAAAGGACACTAGTCAGGGAAGGGGAACAGCTTTGGATAAAGGGCTGGTGATGGGGTAAGAAAGGCTGCAGAATGAGAAACGGTAAGGCTGGGTGAAAAAGAAAGGGAAGCAATTGGGAGAAAAAAGAAGGAAGAGGTGAAGTAAGGATGGGGGATTGGATGATCACAGGATGGCAAGGGGTGAGGGTGGGGGGATTCAAGGAATGAGGGGATGAGGTAAAGAGATGAAGTAGCTGAGGAGAGGACGGGAAGTGGGACTGGATTTAGAGGATGAGGAGTGTGGGGTTACTCTCCTAGCTCACCTGTTCATAGAGTGTGAAGAGCCTCAGATGATCCGTGACCAAGCGCAGGTAGAGTGGCAGGGCCGACCCCCGCTTCACCAGCAGCAGCTGCATCTAATGAAATCCACAGAGACATAGCACCTGGCCTTTGTCCACCTGCTCTCCACCCCAGCAGTAGGCCTACTGCCAGGCTGCTCCTCTGAGAGCTCCCAACAAAGAGAAGCCCTCAGCATCACTTCAAGACACAGTCCTCCCTCTCTCCACACCCCTCGGTCTAGCCAGCACTCCTCCGGGAATCCCTCAGGCCTCAGCATGCCTGGTAACTCTCCTCCCCTCAGACAGGTACAGGGAGGAAAGGATGTGATACAGTGTAAGCAAGCACAGTTCCTAGCAAGGCTTCCTGGTGGTCCAGAGTTCCTAGGAAAACAAAGGAGCAGGCCTGCAGGGACAGCGGGCAGCCCTAGCACCCCTGGGTCCTGTCACTTCCTAGATTCACCCTGACACCCCTCACCCACCCAACCTGACTTAAATCCAACCTGGTTGTTAAAAGGTGACTCTTCCAGCCTCTTCCCGTAGAGAGCCAGCTCCTCCCTCACCATCTGGGTCCGGGCGGATGGCTCCAGAGGCCCCAGAGCCACCACTTGGGCATCCTGGCTCTGCTCCAGGGTCTCCCCCAGGCCTGTGTCAGTAGACACACTCAGCACCAGGTGAACCCTCTGCAATATTTGAGCGGTAGGGAAGAAGAAGGAAGAGAACAGTGTTAGAGGAGTCTCTCCTTGCCACAGTGTCCCTTCATCTTCATCACAGTCTTTTTATCACACTCACCCGGGGAAGGGTCTTTGGGATCCAGTCTGAGATCAGCTGCCCATTCTGGTCCACCAGCTGGTCGGCCCCATCGATGATCACCACCAGGTTCTGACCAGGGTGCAGGAACTGAGCAGATTTGGGCAGCAGCCTCTGCTGCAGCTCCCACACTAGGCCTCTGTCCGAAGAGGAGAAGACTGGGTCAGGGGAACAAGGAGACACAGACGTAGTGTCACACAGCATCAGCATGGCTGGTCTAACAGAGACACGCACCGGTAGGTCCTGGGGAGAGCACTCGGTGCTTGCAGATGGCTGTGCAGGAAGGCACAGAGGCGTCTGAGCAGAGTAAGAACAAGACTCTGGTCAGGGCGGGCACCTGAGAAGTGGAAGAAGACTAAGGGGGCCACTCTGGTCCCATCGGGAGCCTGGAGGGTTGACACAAGTGATGCCTGCATGGGATGAAAAGAAAAAAAATGTGGTCCCAAGCTCTCTGTGGCCCACTTCCTTAGCCTGCCCTGCTCCTCCCGCCTGCCAAGTTGCTAAGGCTGTATACCAGGAAGGCAGTCTTGCCCTGTCCCGAGTGCCCGATCACCAGGCTCAGACATCCCCGGTGCTGCTGCAGCTGCTGTACTGTGTTCTGAAGGAGGCGCCGTCGGGCAGAACTGGGGGGACACTGCAGCTGCTGGAAGGTGGCTTGGACCGAGTCATCTGACATGGACCCAGGTTGTTCCAGCTGGGACTCGGGCTGAGAGCACAAGGGGCAAGCAGCCATTATGATTCCATGATCCCAAGGAACGCCAGGTCTAACCTAACCTCCACCACGTTATCTCCCATCCAGATCACCCTGGCCCTCCTCACTCCCCCAGTTACTAGCACTCCTGCTGACCTGGAGGTAAAGTTTCTGGATAATAGTCCACACATCCTGCAGAACCAACTTTCCAAATTCCTCCAGTCCCCCAACATAGGGCCGGCCCGCTGCCACACCCCCCCACTTGCAGGAGTATCTGTGGGCAAAGTAAACATACTTGACGTTAGAGCACACCTGACTCCCCAACACATCTCTGCACGGGCATTCCACCACCTCCAGCTCACCTGCGGCAGGTAATCTCTTTCTGTTTGCTCAGGTAGTTCTTTAGTTCCGTGATCTGTTGTGCAGCCTCTTCAGACTCAGGAATAAAGTCCGGTTTCCAGGCATCTGGCACAGAACTGACCCACCAAAAATACCCCAAGAGTCAAGACTAGACTCAGACCACTAGCCCACTTTTCCTTGCTTTCTTTGATGCTCTGAGACTTATTCTCAAATAGAGACCTCTGAGTTCAGCTCCTCTGAGCCCCAGTTCTCTCTTCTAGTTCCCCACTCCTATAGTCTGAGTATTGGGAGGACAGTGCATTGCCATTCATCAAGTCTGTTCTGTCTTCTGTGGAGGAAGAAGAGGAATACCTGAGGAAGCTGTTTTCCCGGAAGTAGATCAGAGCTGGGGCTGAGGTCTGGAGGCGGAGGCCCCGGTTCAGGAACTGCATCATCTCCATCTCGGTCACTGAGCGACCTGGGGGATACTGCTGGACCTGCAGAAGAGTCCAGGACAGGGATCAGGCAAAGCTCTGTCCCAGCCCTGAACACTAACCTCTCCTTCCAGTGCTGCATAGAGACCCCCAGGCTCCTTCATCCCCTGAAGGCTCCTCTCTCCCTCTGGATTACCATACCAACACAGACTGACCCAGCTGGGAAACTGGAGCCAAGGAGCTTGGAGTATTCTCTTCCAGAGGCCTGAGAGACAAGGGCTCTGCCCTCCTGGAGGCAGTGGGATCTTGAATATTTTTGTCTTAAAAAGTAGACATGAATCTAGTGAAATATAGTCATAACTGACACTTACAGAAGGCATGTACCACATGTTTTTGCAGATTATTTTAAAGTCACATAATAACCCTTCAATATAAATGTCTTTGTTACTCTTTACTATAGAGAGAGATTAAGGATGTTGCTTTTGTTAAGTGCAGTTGGGTGGAGTATGACTCACAGTGACTTCAGGAACCATAGACTTGAACTCTGTCCTATCCTGTACCATATTGATTGTTCACAACACATTTGAGTCCATTGCTACAGACACTGCATCAATCTATCTCATTGGATATCTTCTCCTCACTGACCCTCTACCTTTCCAAACATGATGTCCTTTGCTAAGGAATAACCACTCCTAAGAGCATGTCCACAATATATGAGACAAAGCTTCATCAACTTTGCCTCCAAGGAACATTCTGTTTGTCCTCTTGGTAGTCCATGGTATATACAGTACTCTCTCCAACAGCATAACTCAAATGCAACAATTCTTCTACCATCTTTATTCACTGTCCAGCTCTCAGATGCATAGAAGATGATAAGAATGACTGGCCAGAATCTGGTGCACCTTAGCCTTTAGATTGACATCATTGTTCTTCAGGATTTTGGAGAGATCACGAACAGCAGACTTTCTCAACACTATACATCTCCTGACTGCTGGCATCAAGGATATTGACGTGGATCCAAGCAAGATGAAACTGCTGACAATTTCAATCTTTTCTCTATCATGATGTTGCCTATTGGCCCAGTAGTGAGGATTTGTGTTTTCTTGATATTGAGATTAAGGCTAAATTAAGTTAAATAACTTCCCACAAAGCCATACAATATGCAAATGACAGATCAGAACCAACATATGAGCCCCCTTATCCTTTGTATCCTTTACCAAACCCAAAGGTACTTTTCAAAGGAATTCCCTCATCTAATCAAGGATGAGGGGTCTCTGGTGGGGTTGTCCACAGAGCTGAGAGCTGTGCGTACTGCTAACTCAAAGACAGTGCTTCTCCAGCAGTTCAAACCCACCAGGGGCCCCTCTAGAGAAAGATGGGCCATCTCCTTCCATGCCGTTTACAACCTCTGAAAACCAGGCTCAGCTTGGCTGGTTCTCACTAGATGGCAAAAGACTTGTTAAAAGTTGAGTTCAGAACATGCCTGTTCCCAGTCCCAAGTTTACTGACAAGCTGTTACTTTGCTATAGCTCTGCCCCAATCACTATCACCTTCTCAGATGCTACCCCAACCTTTTCTGCCTTACCCACTGGAAGTGAGGATGGTTAGGGAGGCTGTAGTTAGGGGGAACGTAGCCATAGCGAGAGCCCAGAATCCCCACGAACAGCTGCGAGTTCTCCACTTCCCCAAGGCACACTTCAAGTTGTCTGTGGGAAACAAACAGAATACAGGTGAAAGTGGGGAGACAGACACACTTGGCTCACAACTGAGCAAAATGAAAGAAGGCTGCTCTCCTTAGCATCCAAGGGCAACTCCCTTCCCTGATCCTCAGTCATTCCTGAAGGTCAGAGCCTGACCCACTTTCCATCACTCAAGATCCTCATTCCTGACACAGGCCTTTACCTCTGAGGTCCCATACCTGTTCCTCCGGGTTTCTTCCTCAGTGACGCCCCAGCGCAGGTCGATACCATGAAGGCTGATGCAATGAGTGGCCGCTCGGGCCTGCAGGGCCGGAAGCACTGACCTCAGCAGCAGGTCCCGCTCTCCGTGCATGTCCCGGAAAGTGGACGAAATAAAAAGTCGGAGGCTGCGCCACCTGAGCGTGAGCAGACGGCTGGGATCAGCCTGACAGGCAGCCCACCAACCCAGTGCTACAGACTGCTTTGGATCCCCCTTCAGAGCTGAGCAGAAGCCAAAACGACAGACAGCTAGCAGAAATACAGGCCAGCAGAGCCCTAGAAAACAAAGTGCTGGTAGACTTGATGGCCTGGAGTTGAAACTCCACTTTCTACTTCTCATGCATGCCTCCTTTTGTCTGGAAAGGATTATTACACATTTTGTGTTTTTTCATGGAATGCTCACGACAACACTGTGAGATACACACTCTCCTCACTCCGTTTGGTAGACTACAGCTTTAAGAATTTAAGAAACCAGCCCAAAGTGGTAGAGGCTATTGGATGCCAGCAAGCTGATTCCCATTCATGCAGACTCCATGTGCACCAAGTCGAACAATGCACCTTAACCTCTTCTAGCCTGTGATCTTTCAGAAGCAGATTGCCCCGGCTGACTTCTGAGGAACCTCTGGGTGGGTGTGGACTGCCAATGCTTCAACTAGTAGTCCAGCACTTAGTTGCTGCTGCATCTAGGGACTGACCAAGCCCAAGACACAGGCTACCATTTTCAAAGCCAGAAAGAGAAAGCCAAAGCTGCTAAGCAGCTAGCCTCACATTCTAATTGCATCTCCCAATTAGACAAAAGGGAGTATTTACAACATGACACTTGCCAGTGTTAGTAAAAGTCATTCCTGGAAAAGAAAATGCAGCATAGCTCAAAGATCAGAACAAACAGCATCTCAACAGTCAAGAATGTCAGTCACTAGTTGTTCTAGCTTTTGACTGTAGCCAGTCCCAATTCACAAAAGCACGCCAACACAGACTGACCCAGGCTGGGAAACAGGAGCCAACGGGCTTGGAGTATTCTCTTCCAGTGGCCTGAGAGACAGGGGCTCTGCCTTTCCTGAAGGTGGTGGGATCTTGAATAGTTTGTCCATTTGGCCCACATGTTCTAGAAGACGGGAGGCCCCACGTTCTGCTATGAACCTGACATAAAAATGGTAACAAAATGAATGAGAACAAAAACCAGAGGCCAGAAACAAGGGGAGTGGAGAGTCAAAGGTAAGGTAAGGTAAGGTAAGGTAAGGGTAGGTCACTCAGGTAACTGGAACTCCTTTAAAAAAAAAAAGAGGAGTGAATATAGTCTTGTGTGTGTGTGTGTGTGTGTGTGTGTGTGTACCACCAAATCAGATCTGACTGGTGCAGGAAGAGATTGTCCCTCCTTCTCCAGCAAAGCATGTGAATATAGTCTTAAATGAGGCTGCAGAATCAAACCAAACCAAATTCATGGTTATAATTCCAACCTGTAGCAGCCCTGTAGGTAGAACAAAGTAGAACTGTTCCACAGGGTTTTTCAAAGTGGTAAATCATTTATGAGAGCAGAATTCCTCATCTTTTTCTCAAAGTGCTGCTGGGACCTTTTAGCTAACAAACTACAGAGCTTTTAAGTTAGCAGCTGAATGCCTTAACCACAGCACCACCATGTTGCAGAACCAGGAAGTAAAGAAACGAAATTCTAACCCCTTCCAGCCTCTGCATAATTATAAAGACTTTTTAATTTGTGCCAGAAGTAACTGGGCTGGTAAAAGTTGTAAAGATTAAAACCATCCCAGTTACTTGCTATGTGTCTGAAGCTGCATAATGAATAAGGAGGACAGAAGAAGATTTGGTGCCTTTGAGCTGTGTTGTTGGAGAAGGGTATTGAATGTCAAAAGAACAAACAGATATGTCTTAGAGAAGGCACAGCCTGCTCCTTGGAGTTAAGTCTGACAAAGCATTTCACATACGTTAGGCATGTTGCTAGGAGAGGCTATTCCTTGCAAAGGGGCACTATGCTTGGCAAAATGGAAGGTCAGAAAAAGGGAGGAATTCCCTTGAGACGCATTGACACAGTGATTGCAGGAGCGGGCTGCAGAGCGTACAGAGATGATGAGGACGGCACACGGCAAGACAAGGTTCAGATGTGTTGTTCATAGGGTCGCTATGACTTGTATGACACTCGATGGTGCATAAAAACAGCAAGTCTAGACTTGATCAGCTCTGCACTCACCATGATAGCTCTTTAGAGGAGGGGGGGACATGTATGGAGCCTTCTAACAGGAAGTGGGGGCAGGCAACATCCAGTGGAAAAGACAGGGAGAAAGCAAGTAAATGAGAAGACGAAGCATGCAAAGAAACAAAATGAGGGATTTCCATAATTCTGCATAGAAGTTCTTTTACATAAATAATGGAACAGGCTACAGAAAGTCAATAAAATAAAATTTAAAAGCTGGTTAATGAATGATATTATAAAATCATTTGTTTAGTAAAAGATTCATTAAAGTGACAAGATAGACCAATGGATTTTAATGTAACAGTAAGAAAAAGTCATTGATAAGAGATTTCACTTCCATAAGTATTACTAATGAGTTTTTAGTTTATATAAAATAAAAATATCCAAAATATATTTTTAAAAAGTTGATAACATCTCTAAAATTAAACATTGCAATCACACATATCCTCTTTCTCCTCTTCCAATTAGATGCAATTCACATGTGATGGCTGGATGCTCTATAAGGTGATGGTGGTTGCGTTATGTGCCATCGAGTCATAGTGACCCTATGCACAATAGCTCTGAACCGTGTCTTATCCTGAGCCAGTCTCACTGTCTCTGATATCCCTATCTCCATTACCCTAGTCACTGAGTCAATCCATCTCATCCAGGGTCTTCCTCTCTTGCCTTGTCTCTCTATCCTTCCAAGCATGATGTCCTTCTCTAAGGACTGATCCCTCCTGGCAGCATGCCAAAAGTATGTGAGACAGAGCTTCAAAATCCTTACCTTCAATGAGCAATTTGGTTTCACCTTCTCCAGGATAAACCTGTTTGTTCTCTTGGCAGAACTACAAAGTAGAAGCTGAATATTTTAAGATAGTGAAACAAAAACTTATAAAGCACTGTGTCCCTATTATAGCACAGAGCATTTATACCTGGTCAGCTGTAGAAGAGAAATAAAATTTTTCTTACTTTAAAAAAAATTAAAAGTAGTGAAACCACAGATAATATCTAAAAGGCAATCTACAAGCCCCAAGCCCTTGCCATATACTCACTTCAGTATGCCATCTGTACAGCCTGAGAGTGTCACATCATTGGGGTTCACAGGTGATGACCTTTCAAAGAAAAAGAAAAGCAGTGATAACCATCAAAGACAATGCCAGGATCATAGAGTTATTGCCCCTTAATATCTTGAAGTGAGCATCTTCCTTCTGTGTTTTTATAAGGGTATGTGCTGGGCAGGATGAACCCTCACAAAGAGATCCAGAGCTAGGCTGAAGAATTCAAAGAAGGTTCTAGCACAAAAAGTGCAACAAAGATTGGCAAGTAAATATGAGAGGAAAGAAATACTGTTTCAAGTTGGGTCATGGTGGAAGGGATTTTTGGCACAAGGAAGAGAGTAGAGCATTCTTACACAAAATACTCTTTCATAGGCACACCAACAAAGAGGCACTTAGAATTCACACGGTGCCAGAACAGTTGTTTAGCTGTATTTATCCATCTCTGATTCATAACTCCGCCAAAGAGAATGACTCTGTCCACCTGTAAGATAAAAGAGGAAGAGTTGAGATCAAAAGACAAAAAGGAGACAGTAAAAAGCTCAAGATATCAAGAAGAAAGATCTCTAAGGAGTGGGGATAAAAGAGAATTTTGAGAGAAATGGGGAGTTTTCTCCCCTGAGAATGGTGTTTACAAGTTTCTAGCCACTAAGGATGAGAGAGGCTGTGACACCGCTGATCTGGGGCATCAAGGTGGAGTTTGAGGTAGGGGCAGAGGCGTACTGGACTCATACAGGCTAATGAGATCAGATGTTACATTTTTAGGAATCTTTTTAGCCAGTTGGTAAGTATGCTTTTGTTGCTGTTATGTGCCCTCATGCCAACTATGACTCATAGCAAGCCCATGAACAATAGATCTGAATCTTGTCTTACCCTGCACTACCCTTATCATCTCTATTATACTCAGGCCCATTGTTATTATAGTCATTGTGTCAATCCACCTTGTTGAGAGTCTTCCTTTTGTTTCCTGAGTCTCTACCTCTCCTAGCATGATCTCTTTTCCAAGGGACTGATCCCTCTTGACATCTTGCCCAAACTATGGGAGTCAAAGTTTCACCACCCTGGCCTCTAAGGAGTACCCTGGTTGCACTTCCTACAAGATAGACTTGTTTGCCAATACCACATTCAAAGGCATTGATTTTTCTTCTGTCATCTTGAATAATCCAAGTTTCAAATGCTTAGTAATTAATTATGGCTTGATCCATAGTCTTTTATTTTATTCTGATTTATTTACAAAGTCTGAATACATTGTTTTTCACAAAAGATCCTTCCCATTTCCTTCACCCCACCCACCTATCAAATTGTACAACCCTATGATTAATACCCCCCCATTCTTCACCCCACTATTTCCACCCTCCCCAGATATTCCATAGTCTTTAATCTGACATTCTTGCTCTTCAGAACTTTGGGGAGACCTTTGACAACAGATTTTCCCAGTGCAATACATCTTTTGATTTCTTGACTGCTGTTAAAATGAGTATTGACTATGAACTTAAATATGTTGACATTGTTGACAACTTTAACCTTTTCTCTATTTATCATGATAATGCTTATTTGTTCAATGGTTAGGATTTTTGTTTCCTTGAAGTTGAGATGTTGAAGGTTGTAGTCTTTGATCTTCTGAGCAAGTGTTTCGAGTCTTCCAGAGGTTCAGGAAGGCTGTGTCATTTGCATAACACAGGTTGTTGATGTATCTTCTCCAATTCTGATGCCACATTATTTTCTATATAATCTAGTTTCTCAAGTGATTTGCTCAGCATACAGACTCAAGAGTTAATTGAATAGCTATGGAAAAAGAATACAACCCTAGTGCACATTTTCCTGATTTTAAATTATGTAGCATTCCCTGTTCTATTCAGACAACAACTTCTTCTCCTATGTATAGGCTTCACATTAGCACAGTTCAGAGTTTGGGGATTACCATTCTTCTCAATGTTATCTATAATTTGTTGTGATCTACCTGACAAATGCCTTTGCTTAGTCAAATAAACATCTTTCTGGTATTCTCCATTTTCACCCAAGATTCATCTGATATTATTGAAGTTAACTTGCATTATAATGAAATGGAATTAAAAACAAAGATAATAACTGCTCCAAAGTCATAACCTTTTACTATTATGTAGTCAAGCTCATTTGTATCTACATATGTGGGTGGGGGAAAATATAATAGTATACTAGAATTTCTTGCAAATTCTGTGTTCAATGACATCAAGCAGGCAGTTTGAAATTGGCCATGGTAGTGTATATATTGGCCATGCCAGTAGAATTGGCAACTGCTACTATCAAGATTTCTTTTTCTAAAGAGTGTTGTTCAATATTTACCAGCACACCGCTGGGTAAGGTCTTTGTTGAAGAGTATCCAGGGAGCAGATCTCGATACTGTCCATGAATTAAAATAAGAATTCTCAATCAGAGAGGGAAATATGGGAAAGGACAAACTGGGTAGTACTCACAGGGACCCTCTGGACAGCCAGAGACAGCAGGTACTTCCCAAAAGTATCCAGGGACTCTTCATTTTCATCCTTTTCATTCACCTCCTAAAGGAAAATCTCAGGTTATATGGCCAGAAGGGAAATGACCAGCTGGCAGCAAACACCACAGTCTGTTCAGGAAACTTTCAGAACTGTGTATGTACAGTCATGCTCTTCCTAACTATTCAGGTGGTTCCCAGACTGGTGTCTATTAATAATTTTTTTTTTAACAAGGGTTAGAGTCTGACCTGAACTTGAGCCTGGAGCTCAGTGGCAGACTTCAGGATCCCTTCCTCTGCCTTCAGCACAGCAGTCTTCAAAGTTCCTCTTCCAAAAAACAAAAGATCCACCTGCTCTGCCCGAGCGATTATCATCGCAATCAACAGCAGCACGTAGTTCAGAGGCAGCTGAATGGACAAACATCAGTATGAAGTTCCCCTGATCTGGAATCCACCCTTGTTCCCTAAATCCTAAAGGCCAAACATTTCATTGATAAACGGAAGGGGAAGGGGAACAAGATCCCCATTTAGGAGAAGACAGGTCTGTATTACTAAATCAAGAGCTGCCTGGGGTTGGTGAGAAGGATCAGGATTCCCATTCAAAGCCAACACTTAGGGGGAATGAGGTGACAATGAGACATATTTTGGAAACAGAAATTTAGTATCAGCCAAATGTGAAATGTTATCACTATAATCCCCAAACTGGGCTGGAGGACACACTCTAGGAGTTGATCCTAGGAACCAAGGACTGACACTTGCAGTCAAGTTTGCTTAGTTTGGTTCCGAGTGCTTATCTGAGAGAACTAGTTTCGGGAACAGGTCACCGCTTAGGCTTCTCAGCACACACCATCCTTCCCCTTCTTTCCTCCTGCTTACCCCTTGTGAGTTGCTCTTAGGGCATAGCTCGTCTGCATTTGCATCTGTCAGGTAGGCCAGGAGAGTGCGACCAGGAAGTGGGGGTAGACTGTGCTTCACAGATAGGTTCACAGCTGTCTCCAGGGCTTGCCGGTACCGATCTAGCATCTCACCATCATATTTCCCCTGTCTGCAGTCAGGAAAGACACACAGTGAAGGTGTCAGTGGCTTATCTACCTGCCACATTGAGGCAGATGGGAAGATGAGACTTTGTCACTCAAGTCTGAGGCCCCCACTTCTTTATCAAGCCCTACTAACCCTTCCCAGAGTCTGACTCCATTACTAATACTGAAGAAAGGGACAGAACTTCCTTTTGTCCCTACTCTATATGACTCTTTTAGTTTATTTTCATGGCAAGACAGACATACTCTCTGAAGCGACTTTCTCCAGCTTCTTCTGAGCATTCAGCTGTTCAAGGCTAGCTCCCACACCATTAGGAGGATGCTGCCTGTCAACAGAAATCAGCCCACTTAAACCACTAGAAATTCTACTTCTCAGCACAGTAATCTCATTAGCCTCAGGAGTGACCGTCAGATGAGCACATCACAGCTTAATGGAAGGAAATGGAAGTCATATCATTCATCCCCTGCTTCTCACAATTCTCCTAGGAGTATACTTTACACTCCCTCAAGCACCAGAATATTCAAAAGCATCCTTTACTATCTCAGACAGAATACATGGGTCAATATTTTTAAGGGGCGCTCTGGTGGCCTAGTGGTAAGAAGCTGTGCTGCAATCCCAAATGAATGTTTTCATGGTTACAGAACTCCACAGACTCCATTCAGTTATCGAAGCAGCCACCTGATACTGGCACTTTTCAGTGTAGTATGGCTGTTCATATACACGTCTAACCATTGATGAGCACTGTACTCTTTTGGTATTAACTACTACAGCTGACTTCCAGTCAGCAAGCTTTGGCTATTAACCTGAACGAGTAACAAATTTCATCACAACATTAATCATCAATGTATCATTGGCCTCTCTAATAGTTATTTTTGCAATTTTGACCCCCCCAATCAATATCTACACAGAAAAATCAAGCCCATATGAATGCAGCTTCAAGCCCCTAGGATCAACCAACTACCATTATCAATAAATTTTTCTTAGTCACCACCATCAATTTCCATCTATTTGATCTAGAAATTGCCTTACTAGGAACCATCCAAGTTAACATCCTTAAACTGATAACCCTTACAGCACTCCTCCTGATTACCCTACTAGCCTCAGTACTAGCTCTCTAAAGATTGCAAAAGGGGATAGAATGAATTCAATTGATAATTAGCTTAACAAAAACAATTTCAACACATTAGATCACTATATTATAATTATCAACCATGCCACCTATTTGTATCAACATCCTACTACTATTTTCTTTATCACTAACTGGCCTACTAATATATATACTGATCCCTCATAATATCATCTCTCCTATGGTTAGAGGTCATAATTCTATCTCTATTCGCAGGAAGCATAATACTGGAATTCAGCATAAACTTTTTGCCCTTCTAACAATAACACCAGTCATTCTCCTAGTATTTACAGCCTGCAAGGCTGCAATTACTCTATCCTTACTTGTTATTGTTTCTAATACATAGAGCCTAGACTATGTCCTAAGCTTAAATATCCTACAATGCTAAAAACCATTATCCCAACAATTATACTCCTGTTAACATGACTATCAAAACCAGCCTAATATGAGGCAACACAATTGCCTACAGCTTCATAATCAGTCTGACTAGCTTATCATTTCTCTCTCACACATCAGAACCCTACACAAATGACTTCCTTTTATTTATACAGGACACGGTATTTGTAATCACTTGTTATGAGTCAGAGAGTTGGACAATGACTAGGGAGGATAGAAGGAGAACTGATGCCCTTGAGCTGTGGTGCTGGAGAAGAGTATTTGAGGGTACCATGGACTGCTAAGAAAACAAACAGATTCATCCTGGAGAGGGTTAAAACAGGCTGATCCTTGGCGGCAAGGATTCATCTGACATATTTTGGACATGTTGTAAGGAGGGACCAGTCATTGGAGAGGGACATTATGCTTGAGAGGGTGGAGAGCAGGAGCAGGAGGGGAAGACCCTCTATGAGGTGGATTGATTCAGTGACTGGGGTAATCGGGATGAGTGTGTCGGAGACAATGAGATTGGCACAGGACAGAGCAGAGTTTAGGGCTGTTGCACATAGGGTCGCTACAAGTCTCAAGCAACTCGACGGCACATAACAACCACCACCACACTATCAACCCCACTGGAGCTAACCATGTTAACACTTACTTCAAAACGAAGATTTTTTTTAACAGCTACATATTTTAAAATTGTATTTAAAGAATAAATATTACCCTTTACTATGGAAACTTGCAATTAAAAGAGAAATTGATGCTTCCTTTCCTAAAGAAATGCTTTTCCAGGGTAACTAAATCACGTTAAGGGGGCTCTGGTGACCTAATGGATAGAGTGTTGTGCTGCCAACCCAAAGGTGGCTGGTTGGAATCCACCAGCTGCTCTGAAAGAGAAAAATGGGCAATCTCTTCCAGAGCAGTTTACAGCTCCTGAAAACCCACTGATGGGTCAGCTGTGAGTTGGTTCCAAATCGAGGGCTATAACTTTGACTTTTCAAAATACGTTTTAGTGAGCTCTAGTGGCATAGTCCATGAGGAGTTGAACCACTAACACAAAAGTAATGCCTCCCCACTCTCACCTCTCTTATTCAATATTGTGTTGAAAGACTTAGCAAGAGCAATAAGACAAGAGAAGGAAATATGAGGTATCCAAATTGGCAGAGAAGGGAGGTAAAATTATCTCTTTATGCAGATGATATGATAGTATACCTAGAAAACCCTAAAGACTCAGCAAGAAAACTATTGGACGTAGTTGACCAGTTCAGCAAAGTAGCACGATACAAGATCAACATACAAAAATCAGTTAGATTTCTCTACAGTAACAAAGAGAATACAGAGCTGGAGCTAAGAAAAACAATACCCTTCACAATAGCTAACCACAAGATAAAATATTTGGGAGTAAATATAACTAGAAGCACAAAGGATCTCTTCAAAGAAAATTACAAAACATTACTACAAGAAACAAAAAGAGACCTGGCGAAGTGGAAGAATATCCCTTGCTCATGGATAGGAAGACTCAATACTGTGAAGATGGTAATACTACCAAAGGCAATTTACACGTCCAATGCAATCCCAATAAAAATACCAATCCCATTCTTCAAGGAGATGGAAAAGGTAATCTCCAGTTTGATTTGGAATGGAAAGAAGCCCTGAATAAGCAAAGCACTCCTCAAAAATAGAAAAAAGGCAGGAGGCATCTCACTCCCTGATTTCAAATCCTACCACACTTCCGTGGCGGTTAAGACAGCATGGTACTGGTACAATGACAGAAGCATAGATCAATGGAATAGAATTGAGAGACCAGAAATCAGCCCATTTACATAAGGTCAACTGATTTTTGACAAGGAAATGAAAAGAGTTAAGTGGAGAAATGACAGCCTTTTTAACAAATGGTGCTGGCAAAATTGGAAAAATATCTGCAGAAGACTCAAGCAAGATCCACACCTCACTCCATAAACAAAAACCAACTCAAGGTGGATCATGGATCTAGGACTAAAACCAAGGACTATAAACTTCATTAAAGAAAAGCTTGGAGGAACTCTAGTAGTCCTAATCCACAACATAAACAGTCTTCCAAGTATCCTGAAAAATCTACAACCAGGAGAAGATAAAATAGATGAATGCGACCTTCTAAGAATCAAATCCCTATGCACATCCAAAAACTTCTCCAACAGGGTAAAAAGGGAGCCACAGACTGGGAAAAAGTATTTGGTAATGACATATCAGATAAGGGACTTATATCTAGAATTTATAAAATACTTGAGCACCACAACAAGATAAAGGTAAATAATCCAATAGAAAAATGGGCACAGGATATGAACAGGCACTTCACCAAAGAAGACATTCAGATGGTCAACAAGCACATGAAGAAATCTTCAAAATTCCTAGCAAATCAAAACAACTATGAGATATCATCTCACCCCAGTCAGAATAGCAAAATTTAACAGAACATCAAGCAACAAGTGCTGGCGAGGTTGTGGAGAAACTGGAACCCTTATTCACTGTTGGTGGGAATGTAAAATGGTGCAACCACTGTGGAAGGCGGTATGGCGCTTTCTCAAAAAGTTGGAAATAGAGATACCATTTGACCCAGCAATTCCACTACTGGGAATATATCCCAAAGAGACCATAACTGACATCCAAGCAGATATATGCACACCCATGTTTATTGCAGCTCTGTTCACAATAGCAAGGAGCTGGAAACAACCCAGGTGCCCATCAACAAACAAATGGATAGAGAAGCTGTGGTATATTCACACAATGGAATACTATGTTGTTGTTGTTGTTGTTATGTGCCGTCAAGTCACTTGCAACTCATAGCGACCCTATGTACAACAGCCCTAAACTCTGCTCTGTCCTGTGCCAATCGCACTGTCTCTGACACTCCCATCCCGATTATCCCAGTCACTGAATCAATCCACCTCATAGAGGGCCTTCCCCTCCTGCGCTGTCCCTCCACCCTACCAAGCACTGAAAAACAAGGAACTCATGCAGTATTATTCAAAATGGGTGAGCCTGGAGGACATTATGCTGAGTGAAATATCTCAGTCGCAAAAGGACAAATATTGCATGGTGCCACTGCTGTAAAATAGGACTGATATCAGGGTGGGCGTAAGACTGAGAAAAACTGGATAAATTGTGTATACTGCACTGAAACAGATGAGGGAGTGAATAATTTAAAAGCGATGTATGATAGGGTATTATGGTTATCACAAGAGTCCACAATTAAGGTTGCATAGTGGAATATACTTGGGGCGGTGGGAGGGGTGCAGGGGGATTGTGTACCAGGAAGGGAGTCTTTCTTTTACTTTTGAGAGGAGCAAACTGGGGGGTGGGGGGAGAGGGCTGGGCAGGTACAGAAGTGCAGCAATGAATGAATGGAAATCCAAATTTTCTGTAAATGTTCATTAAAATTATTTTTTTAAAAAAAATAAGTAATGCCTCTCTAGTGGTTTAAACCCAGGAGCAGCTCTGCAGGATACAGATGGCAATCTTCTCCCATGCCTTGGAAACCCAAAAAAGAGTCAGGTATGAGTCAGACCTGACTCAACAGCAATGGGAAAGAGAGAGAAATAGCTTTACTTTTCAGAGTTCTAATTCTAATAAATAAGAAATAAAAGTAGAAAATCTCCCTTTTACAATTACTACTGAAACAACTGGTCCAGGAAAAGACCCTCAGTGAATGAATACACCAACCTTACAGGGGAGAAATGAGGCTATCACCACCTAAAATAACTGATCCATCTTAGCACCCCATGCATTTGTCTTGAGAGAAACTGAATGCATAGTATTTCTGAAGCATATCTAAAAGGACAGAGGGCTGGACTTTACCAAGCCTGTGGAGCAGGGTGTATGTTTATCCTTGAGCCTGCTGAATAGAAACTATAAAGGAAACTCTGGTGGCCTAGTGGGTAAGGAGTTATGATACCAACCCAAAGGCAGGTAGTTTGAACCCACTAGATGCTCTGAGGGAGAAAGATGGGTAATCTCCTCCCATGTGATTGACAGCCTTCAAAAACCCATTGGAGGGTCTGCTTGAATTGGTTCTGACTTGATGACACATGTTAAAGAAGGTGAATGGATGAAAATGTGAAAAAAACCCCAACAAAACAAAAACACAGTTATCACAGTGAATAAGGAAAAAGTGAGCTCAGCAAGGCAGAGAGGACATTGGTATATACTGTGAGAGAGGGAGATGCTGCATCAGCTCCACAATTACCAAAAATTCAAAAAAGTCACACGAAACTCCTGGCTGTCGAGTTAATTCCAACTCATGGAGAACCCATGTGTTACAGAGTAAAACATGCTATGGAAGAAATCTTTAGGCCTTTTCCCCAAAATGGATTTGAAATGCCAGTCATCTATTAATAGATTAGCATGAACCATTTCATGCAATGACCTCTCCACAATCACCAAAGCAATAAAAGAGTCACAAATAATAGAGTTCATGCATAGATTTTGTCTCATTATCTCTCTAAGGGACAGCATTAAAGATAAGGTTTGTTCTGCCAGAGATAATTGCATTGAGGTCACTGGTAAACTTGTCTTTACCACATTTAGGGTTCCCACTGATTCCCAGCTCCTGTCAGGGACCTCCTGTAGTCCCATCCTATAGCCCCACACTGTGGCCCCACCCGAGGTGCACACTCACTTGGCCTTTTGTATTTTTAGCTTCTCTCTCTTGAGCTGCTCATAGAACACAGGCACCATCATGGCTGCTCGAAGTTTCTGACGACTTAGGTTCTTAATTTCAAGCAGACGGGCCTTACTTCTTCTAGTTTTTGAGTTTCTAATCAATATCTGCTTCATCAGCTGTGTGTTTGAAGGAGCTGGCAACGCTGTGTGGAAGTAAGTAATTATTTGAGTCAGGCAGCTTCTTTCTCTCCATCTTAACCTCCCATCAATACCTGCCCCGAGTCTCGTCCTCTGCCAACTCAGTGTCCTGAGACTGGAAGGTAGGAGGTTGAAAACACCAACGCTCTTATTTTAGGTGTTCATAGGCATGACAGGCAAATGAGATGTAGAAGGAGGAAGGAAATACCTTTACTTCTTAGTTTAGCTTCGAGATTATTTATGGAATCATGGGCATTAAGGAATCTGAATGGAAACTGCCGACTGTGGATCACTGACTTCTGGAAAACAAAAAAGGGGTTACAAGTGAAGAACCAGGAAGCATAAGCGTCATCCAGGATCTCAGATGACCAGGAAGATGAGGCAACCTTTCTGTTAAATTTGTGGAAACATCGTGGAGGACGAACTGGGTATTAGAAGAGATACCCAGAGAAAAGAGAAGAATAAAGAAAATGACAATACATTATTTGGGAATATGAGCCGTACAGAATGAAGAAGTGACAGAAGGAGTCTTGTTTCTTTCTTTTATGTTCCTCTGATATAAATGAAGCCACAAAAATTCCTCTTCCTGGGCAAGTCTCTGACTTCAGAAAATAAAAATGAAAGTTCTTGGATCCCTTTGTAATTTTACAGAATTAACTAAACTCCTTCAACTGCTTCCCCTAATATATCTAGATTCCATACCTGTTTAGAAGAAACATGAAAAAACTGTAAAAACATAACTGTACCCAGGTCCCTGGAAAAATCTAGCTCCAAGGCAGCAGTAGATCCTCCACACCTACCACAGTCACTGGACCCCGAGTCTACGTATCCCTCATACGTACTGCGTGCTGGAGTCGCTGGAGAACAAGCTCATGGTGCTGGGCACTGATCCCAACTTGAAGTAGGCTGCACAGATTCCGCAGCATGGCCATGAAGGGAAGCTTCCCTTTGTCTGTGGGAGGTCCACGTAAAATGAAATAAAGTACAAATATATATGTAGTTATGTACTGTTGAGTCAGAACCTACTCATAGCTGACCCTCCACTGGGTTTCAGAGGCCATAAAACACCCAGGAGAAGACTGTTTTCAAAGCAGCTGATGGATTCTAACCACGAGCCTTTAACAATGCAACTCCTTACTGCTAAGCCACCAGAGTGTGATATATATATATAT